ACTATTGATCCAACGTATACCAGCTGGATCATTGTCTGCAGTTGCTTTGTTAAATATATCTTATTAGAGGTTTTGCTGTGTAATATCGCTGTATATTTTTATACAAACAACGAGACGAGTTAAAATATAACGCGATACTACACACTAAAACATCTATTAATAGATTTATTATCCAACTGCTGTAGTCAATAAATTTATCAACGAAAGAGGGAGAGTGTGACACTGCGCGCTGACCTGTACGGCAAACAGGTTTTCTACTGTGCAAATAACTGTACAATATCGCTGTATATTTGTACTGTTACTTGGACGATACTCGCTGCCGTTGGATAATAAACATTTTCAGTATAATAAAATACGTATGGAGAACCGTATTCAGAATTTGCATGTGACAATGGACCTCACCTACACCTAGCTAGTTCACAGGCATGCCGCTTAAACTGAAAGAAACAAATATCAAATAACCATAACAGGCTTAAAAATTTATAATGGTGGGGGGCATTTACAAACATGACAGAGGAGTTGAACTAGGGTCTACCAAGAAACAACTCCGGCTCAACCTCGTTCCCAGGGGCGGGAAGATGAGAGACTCTGGGAACGAGGTTGACTCCAGCAAGTCTGACGCCCTAACCACGCGGCCACTCTGCTGTTGTCTGTAGTCTGTAGTCTGTAGTGCTTACATCCTAAATGTTTTAGTATACAGATAACGAAGAAAAAGTAGATTAAACTACTGAGAAACTCTCTCCTCCGCCGAGGCTCAGAGGTTTTTTTTTTTTCGGGTGGGGAGAATCTGCTGAGCGATATGAGTGCAGGCGCAGGGTTAACATCGCGCCTCTACTCACCCCCTTCGGAGGAGAGAGACAGAAAAGCTGAGAAAGACGCCTGCAACGGACTCCAAGTGATATTTTATAGGGAGTGGATGACTGTTATTTTTCCCACGCGCGTTCTTTTAGTAACAATAACCCAAATAAGGAAGGCCAATGAAAACTGTCTTAACAGAACAACTTTCGTTGTCTATAATGTCACTACGATTACTGAAGTCGCGCTGCTGCCTATAAGTTTTTTGACTGAAATCTAATAAAGATAGTTGCTAAATTCACTTTTTAAATGGTTGCTGAATTAAATAGTTGCTAAAAATAGTAAGCGATTTTAAAAGTATATTTTAAAATTCTTCTAGCATTCCTAGAGACGAAACATTTCTATTTAGATCCTTCTGCAGAAGTGAACTTAATATTAATACGTTCTTTGCGTTTTCGGAACGGAGATGATATCAAGAAAAAGGGACTTAGCGAAATCAAATGAGTTTTTCCACAACATTTACTTTTACATGTATAAATCAGCTCGAAACGCCACAAAAATATTGGAACTAAGCTAGAAGTCTTTTTGCAGTGTATTTGTTGAATAGTCAACTAATCTAAACTGAACAAATAAGGCTATACTATCCCGCGACTTGGCGGTGCCCCTTGAAGCAAATAAATTAAGAACAACCTTCCTTGAATTCTCTTTATAGCTTCTAAATACTCGTTTTAAATCACACTATACATCTTGTAAATTACTTTTACTTCACCCGGTACAATGGTATTAAGCTCTTGCACAATATCAAATAATTGTTCTTGACTTCAATCCCTCCTCGTCTTTTGAAATTACAGAAGCTCACAATTTCGTCTGAAAAGCCCGGGCGATTGACTAATTTTGAGACGAACTTTACACAACTATCTTTTTCTTCTTCAAGCTTAGAGGATTCGATACAAAGTTAGCAACCCCGCCTCCATAACGTATTTGGTTTCGTGAGAGACGATGCAAAAACCAATATAACTAAGTTCGTACGACAAATATAGAACATTTCGTCATGTCGAGTTAACCAATTGGACGCGTTTTCGTGGTCAGAAAGAACAAAAAAATGTGCAATTGTAGTTGTTTCACAAAACATTGTGATACTCTAACTGATTGCTGATTGAAAGGAATAGAACAATAAGGCGGCACAATTAAGCTTGCATTGTCAAAGAGAATTTGCCTAAAGCGTTGGTTCTCTGGAGAGAAAAATTATTTGGAGAGGGTAGCGATGCATAAACGAACCCATTCAACGCGGGACTAGGATTTGCATAGATAATTGCATTTCAAAGAGCCAGCGATATTAAACAGGCATTCTGGATGTACTAAAACAGAGCACTAAATGCATCGACGAGACATATATAGAGCTGTATATTCATCGACAGGTGCAGACTTGTAAGATTTGACTAACTAACGACCAAACTCAAAGATTATTTGCGATCATTGGATGTTTGCAAACATTTCAGCGTCATTTTCTAGCTATTGATACAACATTCAAAGACCGGCAAATGTGATCTCATGCGACAAGGCAAAAGAACCTCTCTTGGACAAAACTGAGGTAAGACCTTACTCTTTTTCCAACATTCTCATACGCAGTTACATTTGGGGGTTTTAATGAAAGAGCGTTTCATAACGAGTTGACAATTTATAAAAAGTCAGAAAGTGTACTGATTAACTAAATTTGCCCGCGGTTAATGACATTGCACGCATACGACAACAGTTGGTCTGGGGAAAACAGCACGAAATACCTCAAGCATTTTGCTCAGTGTGAATTCAAACCACGCCATTATGTTTCAAGACGACCGGAGCTTCCATACACAAATAAAAATACGGGACTGACTCAATCCGCTCGAGAGATACTGAAACTGACGGCATTGTGACTAATTGGTCAAACCGTGCAGAAGTACTACTCCATCTGAAACTGATTTATACTCAACGAAAGAGTAACGACGAGCGCAGAAACTATAATGCATTCACTGTACAAAGTACAGAAACTACATGAACTACACCACATGAACTAGACAAATAACAGAGTCTTCATGTATGATAACTAAACTACAGCAGCAAATCCATTGACACCGCTCAGTTTCTTAATAATTTTAATGATTGTTTTTATAAGTTTTATATTCCCGAGGGTTTAAAGGCGTTATTCGTGAGGGGCGATACCAGATTTTTTGCCCTGGCATTTCATTCTTGTATTATTGTGGCAAATTTGTGACGTTTCCAACTTTGTTGACAATTTCGTGCTTGCCCAACTCATTCATTAGATTCTAAACATTTTTTCGCATTTGTGTATCGATCACGTTACTTTTGTTTACTATAAATTATATTTTACCCCTTGACGAGGGAAATAAGAAGTGATATTGCATGGAGTTGTGTGCGATATCAAGAATGTTGACTAGCCAAGGTGTATGGATAAATGTATTGCGTTACTTCGACAACTTGGGATGCAAAAAAGGTTCACAATACTAACAAGTTGCGACATTCTTATAAAACTGCTCAGTGATGTATTTAAACCGTTAGGCAAAGCTTCGGAAGACGCCTTAATCGTTCGCTCAAATTATCCATTAAGACATAAATCATACTCACGACAGTTGCGTAGCAATTAAATTTTCCAAATCGCAATCCTTTAAGTGTTTTTCAAATGTAATACTGACCTTTTTCCTTCCTTTATCATATTTTTCAAAACGTTTTTCTTATTTCTCTAATGGTCTCCCTTTGGAGTCCAAAAAATCGGCAATATCGGCTCCTTGTGATCAGCTAGTTTACTCTAATTATATAAGTCTGTCATTTTCTTTATTTTCGGATTAACGTTGTGCGCGAACAAATTGACGTCAATTTCCTAACAGAGTGCAACTTGCAGGCCGGCCGCTGTAAGCTGTTCGCCAATCTAACTACATCAAAGAAAAAAAAACTCTCTTTCTAGCTAGCTCTTAGTCTGCGTCACAGACACTCTACACCGGATAAGTTGGACCGCAGACTAACTATGTTACAGTGATAACTGAACCATAAAGGGCAAGTTTCTGGTTAGTTTTGATTTGAGTTATTAGTTTAAGAATGATAACGAGGTCACTCATATAAACTTCTGACGCAAGACGGAATCAGACGGAGTCCAAGCGCTGCACCGCCGCTTTCTCCAAGGACGGCGCTCCGATCACGTGATTCCGGTTTTTGAGCTTTCGAGTTGTTCAAAGTACGATCGCATCGCCTGAAGGGCCAACAGAACGTACCTTGTACTGACGGAACAATTTGGGCACTTTTTTTTCGCAAGGACAAGTTCTTAACCCGTACCAAAACTATCAAAATTTTCACACATCACATGAATAAACAGATCGACTGAGTTTGTCTGCCACCTTTCGTAAAATCTTCCGTTTTCCGGCGTTGTTACGGTCAGTTACGCTTCGTTCTGTTCTTACGTCATGACGGGTCTAATAATTTCCTGTTTGGCCTTCCCACTCAGTCCTCAAGTACCGTTATTACACGACCCTTGACGGCCTCTCGTATGTTAAAGTCATTTGTTACCCCTGACAAAGCCCCGCCGTATGCACTTCGCTCATTTTTACGTCACACAAAACAAAGTTTAAATTTTCCTTTATGACGCACTCTCCCACTCATCTATTAGGTGTACAGAATTAACCTGGCTGCGTAAAACTCTGCAGTATTTCATTTGAAACTCTTCGAGGTACTTATGTAGAAATCTACTGGATAATTCACACTCACAAAACGGTATAATTCTCTACTTGGCCACTTAAGGGCTTGAACAACAAAATATATCTTTTGTTAGGTTAATTTTATGTTGTGTATTTTTTTTTTTTCACGTCCATTTAATTTCATGGAATGTGGATTTCTAGCCATGGGTATTGGATTTCATATTTTACATCAATTATTCGTCACTTTCCATATTAATACCTTTTGAGAAGCCGACAACTGAATTAAGATTTTATCATGAAGCCAGCTTTATAAATGAAACAGCAATTACGGATAGGTATGCTTATTATCGCAATTTTTCCACTGAGTCTTCAATACAACTCTGTACATTGTGTAGAAGCCTACATTAGCTGTCATGTGACTTGTTCCATATTCAACAAGCCCTAGCCTCCTACGCTGACCTGGGCTCGTCACGCAATCTTCCTCTCCCACAAAGAGACATTCTCGTCCCCATAGCCCTTTCCGCTTCTCTTAGCCGGCGGGGCCTTGGCGAAAAGAGCCATGGGGACGAGAACGACAAATTGATCGCAACATATTCAGGGCGGACTATTATTTTTTCAGGAGGGAAGGGGGCAGGGGGTTGGGGTTGGGGTTGGGCAATTTTCTGGGGCATGAATTTTTTTTTTCGTACCTTTAGGTTGTGCATTATTTTTTTTAGTGGGGAATAGCTTGTGCAAGAAGTTTTTTAAGTCAAACACAGGACCTGGTTAGTAGACAGCACTTGCTCGATTCTTTTGTTCCCATGGCTCCCCTTGAACGATTCAGTTCGTTTTCAGCGGTTTTTGATGCGCAGGAATTTTTTGGGGGGAAATTGCCCAGCCCTCCCTCCTCAAAAAAAATAATGGTCAAGCCTCAGAGGGGGCGTGTCTTGTGGTCTGATCTTGGAAGTGCGTTTTCTTTTTTCCCTTTCTTATTCTCCTGAAAACACGCAACGACAAAAAAGCAGTGATTCAATCAGGTGAGAAAAGCCTCGTGGTCTAACGAGGGCTGAAATTGCTAGAAAGATACAAAAAGTTTACTTCTAGCTACGAGTCTAGCAAGAATCCCTCCTCTTGCGAAATGTTATAATAATCTTCCTGAACATTTGGGACAAAAAGCGTTCCGCTTTGTGGTTTCTTACGTGGCTTCACCCGTAGAACTTCTACGTCACTTTAACCGCTAAAGATGACTCGTCTTGTTAAACAAGGAAGGAGGAAGCAAAAGGCTATTAGCGTTTCTCGTGTCAGGGCATGCTGAGAAGGAATTTTATTAGTTTGAAACCTTCATTTAAAGGTAGGAAACATCAGTGTTTGCGTTGAACTGTCGATGTAAGGCCGATATCGTGTGAGCATCGTAAGTGTTACTGGACACGTTGTTGTAAAACTACTGTAGCGATGATTACGTCTTAATTATTCTTGCATGTTCGTCAAGACGTTTCCGACAGGTGTAAGCCAGTTTTGTGAAATTTAGAATATATCCGAGTTGGCAACTTTGTCGCTACACACTCAGAAATGTCCGACTTCCAAGATGATCCCCCTTCGAGGTTCCTTTCTGGTCCTTCCCCGCTGCTTTCCTTCCGTTCTATTTTGTAATATATAATTTATTACATATTGCTCGTATGTTTTCTTATGGCTTATAATCACTTTTGTTTGTTCGATTTTGTGATCATTTTTAACTACCTATTTGTAACGCCTTGCTAGCTCGGGTAGCACCAAGCCTCTTTGACTTTGCAATTACCTAAATCGAGTGCTGTCAATTATTTTCCTTCCAGGGGAAAGGACTAAAGTGATTGTGCTACCTATGGCTAAAATGGAGCCCTATCCTGCTACCTCATCAAGCCCTTCTATGGCTGCTGAGCCCGTCCCAGAGTGGGGCCCTGCGCTGAAAACATGGCAATGGGCTTGGGAGATGCACTGGATTGGTTTTGGCATACTTTTCACCCTTCTCGCTGTGTACTCTCTGATAACCATGATAGAAATTATCATTATTAAACGGCGGACAAAACGGGGACATTTAGCGCTGGTTATAGCAAGCCTTTTGTTCATCTTTGGTTTGACGCGAGGTTTGTTTCTCCTCGTGAATCCCTACGAGTCTGAACAATGCAACTTATTGCCCGTGTGCCCGGTGATATTGACTCGAATACTGTTCGGTATCGCCCTACCGTGCATCACGGCGTCTTTTTCACTGGTTCACCTTGCGTTCCTTCAAGTGATGAAACTCAAGCTGTACCCGGAGAAACTTCAGAGTGGCAGGTTCTTGTCCGCTGTTATCATTTTCCATTTCAGCCTAACGTTCTTCGCAGAAGTCATGGTGTCGCTGTTCGCCAGCTGGAAAGCACTCGTCATCATCTGCCAGTCGTTTTACATCATGCTCAACTTAATTCTCTCTGTAAGTTTCTTATACAGTGGCACGAAGATTGTCAAGTATGTTCAAAAAAACAACACTCACGTTTCCCGCCTCGGTCAAGCAAGCCAGCGTGGCAGGGCCACCAGCTCTCGCCCCTATCGACCGAACGTGTCTAAACTCGTCAAGATCACCTACATCACAGTTTTTCTGGGAATTGCCAGTTGCGTGCTACAGTTGTACTCGATTATTCACGTGTATAACATGTACAAGGACCAAGGTATGAAGACCCCGGAACCATGGCCTTGGCTAGCGTTCCAAACGATACATCGCGCCATAGAAATCGCTGCTGGTTGTACACTGGCTTACGTGGCCGCGCGACAAGTCAGCCGCAGGCTACACCTGTTCATGCGCTGTTTTACCAGCGTTCAAAAACCGCGCAAAGAGTTGGAGAAAGTAAGTTCCTCCAATGGCCACCAGAGCAGTGTAAAGTACTTAACAGGAGAACAACAAAGCGCTGCGTGATAACATGATCGACTGTCAGTGTTGATTTGACAATCATTTGAAGAGTGAAAACGCAGAGAATGTAAGAAGTTCTTTTGGAAAAACGTAAACCGAAGCTCCAACGAGTTGTAGTCAAGGAAAGTGAACACCGAGTTTCATTGCCGTTGACCTTGTCGTGTCATTATTAAAGAGGCTACCTCAAGCCATTTGCCTTCTCAGCTATCAGTTGGAAATAAAACAACCAATTTAATTTTAACTTGAAAACAAGAAAACATTTCTTGGTTGGACAAAATAGTGGAAGAGACCGTAGCGTAAGACTGATCTACAGTTTATAAGACAAGCTATTTAATCAGCAGAATAACCAAACAGAACAGCAGTTAATTCTGCCCATGTTAACTAATAACACTGTACAGAATAAAAGAGTTATTATTTTTAGGGTAACGCGGAATTTTGGAATAAAATATTTACCTTTTGATAATAAACATTTGTCTAGCCAGCTTGTGTAATAGCCACCAGTAAGGTCATCAGTCCACAGTTTTGGGAAGTTCTTTCTTTTTTTTTAGAGAGACCCTGGTTGGGTCTGGTCACGTGCCACTTTGACAGTTGAGAACATCAGGGAGGGGTCCTCTGTAATCAGCAATTTGTCGCGTTGAGCTTTGTCGAATTCGAAGTATCGCGCTGCGATTGCCATTACCCGCGGCGTTTATTAATACTTTGCTTTGCTACTCAGAGCCCTAAAACATATCTTGCAATAGAAACGAACCTAAACAAAGTATAAGCATGGCATGGCAAATTCATACAGAGGTGTCACTCTGAGAAGGAACGTGCAGGTAACAGCGGAAACCATGCAGACCTACGATCTCTAAAAATATGCTGCAACACAATCAAACGACTCCACTCTACTTATAATTTCCATTTCTTCTAATAACACGGCATAAAAAGTGCCCCTCAGAAACGCGTGAAGTAAAGAAAGGTCGAAAATTAAATGAGAATGTGCACAATTGTCACGAACCGTTGGAGTCACGTACACTAATTTATTAACGACACAATAAAAATTATATTTTTCTTTTTCTAACCTCCTTTCGGTCGAAGATAAATCCAGTTTATCAGCAACTACGGCGAAATGCATACCGCGACGAGTTCGTTGTATTATCCTTCGCGCTCTGCAAAGTTCGGGGCGCCGACTTAAACTGATCTTTTTAACCTTTCGCTCCTTTCGAAGTGACCTTTGCTTTCAGTGATCAATCAAAACGTCCTGAATTCTCTAGAATTATTTAATCGCCGTTCACAAGACCTACGCTTCTTTCTGAGGTAAGGTTGAGTCAAAGATCTTCCATACACAGCCTCGGTCGCGGTGTGCAATTCTCCATTCGCCTTATTGAAGAGATTTTTACAATATGTAATGTCCTTCACTGAACCATACAACCTTCAGCGACTTGGATTTCCGCCATTAGATGATGCATAAGCTTTCCTCGGCGTTTGCAGAGTATTACCGCCGTACATTGCCGCAGAACATATCGTTCTTGGTTTACTTTGGTGACAACACATCCCGCACTCCCGTGGGCTAAGTATAGACAAGATTCCTACTAGGCCGCCCATCCCTTCATCCATCCAGATTCTGGGAGACACGTGACCAGACCCAACCAGGGTTTCTCTTCGCTCGCTCCAAGGGGCGGTAAGATGAGAGACCCTGGGAACGAGGTTGAGAAACAGAAGCGATAAGAGCAAATAAGTAATGTTCTTAGTATGTTTCTTTCTTTTTTTTTTGGAAAACAACAAACTTCTTCGTCCTTTTCATCGGCTACCAAGTTACATTTCGTACCATTCATATACGTTACAAGTTATGCAATTTGAGTCACGCCATTCAATTATTAGTAGCTCGCACTGCTGTTTCGTCATGGGGCATTAGTTTGGCTGTCTTTTTTTCCTGACCAAATAACAGACCAGATAGCTGTCTTAACCATTTGTACTATGTTAAAGAGTTTACGCAGTTCGTCACGCAGACTTAGGTCACACAATTCTAAGACTTCTCGTCACTTTCGTGACACTAGTCACGCTCGCGTCCGTAACGCGAGCGGCACTTCATTTAAAGAGAGATTCTTCGTTCCTTTTCCTTTCATTAAGACCGGTACAACTGTTCCGCCAGTAACGAAGGATAATCAGCCTCCAGGTAATCTTCTGCATCGTCTGGTCGCCACCATAGCGAGTCCTCTGCCATCCAGGTCTCCTCGTCATCAACTATGTTGTGAACGAGCTCTGCGCCTTCGTCGTCATCATCATCAAACTCGTCCCCAAATTCCTCAAACGCTTCATCGTCATCGTCGTCGTCCTCGCGGTAGAAAGCGCCTGTAAACAATTCAAGAGTTAATCTATGTAGATGTCGGTTCTTGAAGCACAATGGCAAAATAAGAGCAGCATCGTTTTCGTGACTTCTCCTCTATCACTCTATCAATCACCATTGTACAAGAAGACCCGTCGACTACGTCGCTTCTTTCAGCCGTTCAGTTTGGGGCGCAGTACGAACAATATGGCGCACGACAAAATAGGGAAGAGGCGCGGGGCGGAAAGGTGCACCAAACCTGTCTCTTCAGTTTATTCCGCTCAGCCGTTTTTTATTTCGCGCTGCGTCCCAACTAAGTGAACGCCTGGAAGAGGCTACCAACTACTCGGAGACTACTTCCTATTTTCAGTTCCTCTTAAATTGACAGTCGGAAACCAAATCCAAAGGAACTTAAAGAGTCAATCAAATCAGAACAATACGCCAATAAGACCTATAAATGAACACACGCAACGAGCGCCAAGCGCGGAAAAAAGGCATGGCTATGATTGGTTGAATAAATAGCGCGAGTTTTTGGGGTTTTTTTTAACCCTTCGCTTCACCTCCCCCATCTCGCAACAAAAAACGCACCGCTACTGACCCGAGCCCAGCAATCTTATAGCTAGCTGGTAGAGCTTTTGCATTAGTGTGCGACGATCAAGGCCTCGAACCCCATTGAAACCTCAGATCGTGGGCTTCGGGCCGAGAAACAAGCGAGGTGAATGAAGTTTAAAAAAAGGTTTAAGTAACATACGTACCTGAGCCATAAGACGGAACAGCGTCAGTTCTCGTACTAATGGAGAAATCATCACGAAACACGTGACACCGACACGATGTCTGCTGCAGTCTAGCTATTGCTTCCTCATCGATGGATGTACCTGAAGGGTTCATTGAGAATGATTTTACTAAGTGAGGGTTTACGATGATTAACTATGCTTTTTTAAAAGTTTAAGTTCGCCTTATGTAAAGTAAACAGGAGGGTTTCCCGCTCTCCCACTAACTGAGATTACCTTGACTTTTCCTTGCCTTATTTCTTAACACTAAACTCCAGCTATATAACAAAACACTGGTCCCTTGGGAATGAAGATGCAGACGTGGGAAACGTCGAGATTCTCGGTAAAGTAACTGTTTCTAAAGAGACCAGTCCCTACCTCCCACAGTGCAGGTGAGACTGGGTCGCTCCTCCGATGCACAATACAGAGCCAGCAGTTCAACAGATGCGTTCGTGATGTTGCCACAACCACTGATGTCCAAGATTGTCAGCTGACAGCAATGCTGTAACAGACTCTCAATTGCTGTGAAAATAACGAGAGAAAAATGCGTCCATATTTCCTGTTTAACTTCCTCCGAGATTTCTACAGTTGATGAGGCCGAAGGCTGAATCAACTACCACCTCAGAAATCGAGAACGAATAACTGAATTCTGACTGAAATTCCTTGCAAATAATCATTTTCAATTATTTTTCTACGTAGTATCAGCAAATCGCGCGGACTGAACCGTCTTTTTCCCGTCCTCAAAAGTTTTTTTCGACAATTTCGAGTTTTTAAAGTTGAGTAACACCGGCGAATGTTCTTAGTCTTGAGAGGAACTTAATGGCTCAGTAACGTTTTTAGGTGCTTCTATGAAACTTCTGAATACCGAGAAAACGTCGCCATTCTGCAGATAACATCCAGTCACTGCACACTAATGGCCCGGCGATTCATTACGATAGCTCAGCCAAATCAGATTGCAGTATTTGCATCAGACTAAGTGCAGAACAAGCACGAGCCGTTGACGTGATGATGGCGCGAGGCGAAACATTCGGGGCATGTTCCTGGGGTAGTTGAAAATTATGTATGATGTTCAGCTGAAGTCAATAGGGAGCTTACGTAAACCAAGACGACGACGGCAACGAGAACGTCACCAAACAGAAGGTTTACTGAGCAAAACAATAGCTGTGCACGTGCGTTATAAATCTTTGTACATTTCTTTGCCGTCCTCTGCAAAACANGAGAACGTCACCAAACAGAAGGTTTACTGAGCAAAACAATAGCTGTGCACGTGCGTTATAAATCTTTGTACATTTCTTTGCCGTCCTCTGCAAAACAACAAAATGAAATGACCAAGTTCTACGTATTCTACGGAACGTGGACGACGACGACGGCTAATTTTTCGTATTTCGATTTGGAATTAAACGCCGTCGTTGCATATTTAGCTTAAACACGTTTTTAGAGCCATTGGCGTACCGAACAGATCTAGACAATCGCGAATTTCGCTTGTAAAATATAAATTCATTTTTTATTAGGCGTCGTCCTCGGCGTCGTCGTCGTCGTTGCTTAAGCTCCCTAATTATGATAGTAGTCCTTTAAACAGGAAATGGGATAAGAACAAAAATGTAACGAATAATCTCTCACATTTATCAGTGAGTCCTGTGCACACTCTAGCCACTAGCCGCTCCAGAGTTCCATTTGCAGACAGGTGAACCACGCACTCGTCTGTTATCTGACAAGAAAACGATATTGATCAGGGCCATGTTGTTCAAAGCCCGATTAAGCTAATCCAGGATCAGTGAGAATTCAGTTTTGGAACTTTTCGGTGAGGTTTTCTGTTTATAGTGTTTGTCCTTCAGTTTTGAGTTTGAATAATCTCAAACTACACAAAACATGAGTAGTGAAAAACGTTCCTCTACAAGAAAAAGGACTTCTTTGGTTAACTTTTAAAGCTGGGTTAGCGTTACACGGCTTTGAAACAACCAGACCCCCTGTACAACAACTGAACAACAGTTACACAGGCTACACAGCACACGTTTTAAGCAAAACCCGATCAATTTCAAGGGATCCCCTGGAGCAAAAACGCAGTTATATTTTGCCTACCACTGGGAACAAAGATAAAATTCTCAGTTGGCCTTACTAAATTGAGTCGCTTTGTTGTTACACAGTATCCTTCTTGACTTTTGTCACAGGGTACCCACCTTGTCTAAGTAGCTAATAACAAGTGAAGACAGCTGATAACAAGAGACAAGACACTGTATCCCTGCATCTGTTATTTCTCCTTCACATGAATCCAGGTTTAGAGAACTGCAAAAAAAGTCGAAAACCCCCTCAGTTGAGTTACTCCACGGTTGTTACAAATTTAACCCTGATTTTTCCTGTTCTATGGATTACACAGGAATACTCCTATTCGAAGACTCGATTAATTACTTAAGATTGAATCTATCGAAGGAGAGAATGAAGACATGTTGAGGTAAGGGGGAGGATTGGGAAGGAACTCACTATAGAAATGAATTTAGCGTTACAGGAAAGTTAGCCTGCGGGCAGGTTCACGTTGGAGCACAAGCGCGAGTGGCGTAGAATCGCTTCCCTCTTCGCTGTGCGACTCAAAGGTGAGCCTGGCTAAAGGAAATTGGGTTGGAAGGGACGTTTTGCCTGAAAAATTTAAGGCGCGTGCAAGACTATAGCGTCGCAACCTGTTTAAAGACAATGATATGAAGAACAAGGTGTTACAATCCAAGTATCCCCCTCCCCTCCCTCCGCACGCCTTCCGATAATCCCCTATAAGCTTAAACTTATCGGAAGGCGTGCGGGGGGAGGGGAGGGGGTTATTTTCGTTGGGGTTTATCAATAGAATTATTCCATATAATTTGCTACCCCATACCGAGGATAAGAGATTTGCATGAATGAGGCAGCTTCGATTGTATTTCTCACCAGCAAGAAAAAGCAAACCTACCTTAGATGGATACAACCTCTTCCAATGGTATATAATAACTCGTCATTCACAACAGAATTCTTTGATAGATCCAGCTTTCTCTGAAAGGATCACAACAAGAAAGGTTTTCAGTGTAATAAGCTTATGTACGAAACAAAATTGATGGTTTGCAACCAAGGCCCAAAGACGTTGTAGCCATGTTGGCCGGACGTCAAGTACAAGAGAAATTTGCGTCTTTCTTAGCTCGTAACAATGACTATATCGCAAAACTCAAACAAATAAAACAGCCAATTACTACATTATGATATTTAACAAATAAAGAAGCCTAAGCCGTGAATTACACTGTAATAAGACACAATGGGCATTTGAGAACGTGAGGGAAATGTAGAAAACATGAGCCGCAGGCGAGTGTTTTCTACATTTCTCGAGTTCTCTCAAATGCCCGTAGTGTTTTACCACAGAGTAATATACGGCTTAGGTTTCTTCATTTGCTTTATCACATGGAGGTAATGTGGCGAAAAACAATAAAACACGCTTTTTCTATGTTCTAAACTCTGATAAAACATGGGTTTTTGACCAATCAGAGCGCGCGCAGGGTCCTATCTATATTTTCAAATCTAATAAACATGTAATGAGTACGTTTCCGAAGCAACCCGTAGAAAGCCGGTAGCAAACTCGGGAAAAAAGAGCGGGAAAACGCGCAGAGGCGATCAGGATTTGTTTGGGATTTGCACCTGATTGGTAGAAAACAAATCACATCTGCAATGCCATTGGATCAAACGACCACGGGTTAACTCTAATAAATTCTGTTTAAGGTTTAAAAGGAAATTACTAATCAATATTTTCCTACACTCACCAGAAGTAACAAATTTCCAATACCCTGCAATCCATGGCTGGTCACTAAGTAAAAGCAGGCAAATAATTCCTGTGTGTTTACTAAACTTTCAAACGGAGTAAGTACTCTTCAACGAGGTTAAAGTTAAACTATTGGAAATCCAAGCATTGACTCAATGACTGAGCCAAGTGGTTTTTCGTATAAAGATTGACTTAAGGCGCCCAAAAACTTCGAAACACTGTCTTTCAGAGTGTTCACAACTGCTTGTAATTTTGTAGGAATGGGGAACTCCTCAGATAATCAAACGAAACGGTACTTGTATCCTTGACTGAAGGAGTGTAAACTCATTTTGCCCATTTTATTGTTAAAGCCATTGAGTCCCAAAGTCGCACTCCTCTATTGAATTCTTACATAACAATACAGAATTGCGAAGACACTGCACCGTAAATAAATAGCATTTCCACTCTCTTGAAAATACAACAATAGAATTGGTAATAATTTTTTTGTTATATCTTAACCATTTGGTCCAGCCTGGGAGAGAGCCAATGATTCAATCATACAACAGTGCTGAAACAAGAATCAAACAACATATCATTAACCAAACAAGCAGTTACAATGACGAGTGTCACGTCAGGTCAGGAATATCAGTATAACCCAAGTGTTCGACTTTATAAAAGTTATTTTCACCGTGTTTTATGCTAACCCACTAGCTCTGTTTGGGTATAATTAGCTAACGATCTAGCAAGCGAATAAGCTTCTTGATTTACTATCATTCTCCCATCTAACGAAGTTGTCATCTAGAGCCTAGCATATGGTTTTTTTGTAATCTTATGTTTTTTATTGGGTAAGGTGACTCTCCTTTATCCAATCCCCAACCTAGCTGTCCAGATGTCTGTCTGAATTTTCCTAACCGGTGTATGGTAGCCTTCTGAGGCTGAGACCTACATGTAACTACGGATTCATTTCTAAGGTACCAACAACTCGCTGTCACCAGGCACTCGGTATGGCGGTGGAATCTCTACTAACAGAGTACTGTTCACCCCCTATTAAATGGCCACCCCCGGGAAATGGACAGTGGCCGCTTATAGAAGGTTGGCGGCTAATAGAGGTAATAGAGGGGCCGTTTAATAGAGGAGACTTTGACAACTGGCTGCTTAATAGGGGTTCGACTGTATCTGGTAGACATCACATATCTGAAGAGTATTAAATTTAAAACAAGATTGTCCCTAATCCCTCTGATTCGTACATTAGTAGTTCAGGACGAAACGCGACTATTTTAAGCCATCTAAATATCTCTTAGGGGTTACCCTTAAAGAAATAATAAGTAACGCTGCCATGTTTGTTTTAAAGGGGTATCTTTAGTCTCTCTAAGGGTCAAGTGAATCTCGACCCACGCCCTGATAAATTCCCGTTCAGGGGTTTAATTCATTATTTTTCTGATGAGTATCCCCGACCTTTTCAAACGGGAGAGTGCCCCCTTCCCCTGAACTTCATTGGGGAGCTTAAGAAAACCACGACGGCAACGGCAACAGCAACGGCAACGTCGCTAAACAAACGATTTAATGAGGAGAACAATGGCTGTGCACGTGCGTTATAACTCTTGGTACATTTCTTTGCCGTCCTCTGCAAAACAAGAACGTGAAATGACAAATTCTGCGTTGTCTCCAGAACGTGAACCACGACGGCTAATTTTTAAAATTTTTATTTCGAATTTATCGATGTGTCCTATATTCCGTTTCGTGATAGCTTTGACAGTGATAAACAAACTGAATGACTTTAGGGTACCACAAGATTCGGAGATAAAATATAAAATCATTTTCCAATAGACGTTGTCCTCGGCGTCGCCGTCGTGGTTTCTTACGCTCCCTATTCTTGTTTACTAGGAGGCTAAATATTAAACGATAAGAGTCCCTTGAATAAAAATTACGCCCTGGCAGTTTCTACTCCAGCAATTCCCTTACCATAACTGACCTGTGTGAGTTGTAGGATTCCCTCATCAGTCAGCATGATACAGCCTGAGATGTCAATAGTTTTCAAGTTCTTACATTTATCACCGAGATGGCCCATTCCTTTATCTGTCAACTATAGCAAAACCACACTTAAATCATTCAGAAATACTTTACTACAGTTTTCTTAAAGACTGCGGTTCAGGGAACTTAACCAAGAACCTTTGTGACTATCAAACAGTAAACCACAAATACGTCGAGCCTACAGAAAGAAAGGCTTCCTCGGGACCAGTCAAAAGTGTCCTCTATGCAGCGGTGTCTGCCTTGTTGTGTTTGTATGTTGACGTATGAGTGCAATAAGGAGATAATAATGAGAATCAATTTTCCGAAATTTAAGTGTTAAAGGTTAAGTGTTACAAGTTAATTGGAACATTATTTAACTCTTTTGATTGCAATCCATCTTAATCTTTCCAAATCTTCGCCAGCCTCGTTCCTTTTACAGCTTTTTATCAGCTCTTTGGTCTTCCTGTCGATCAAATGACTTTACAATAATTGATCCCTGCTCAGTGTGCAAATAAAGTCCTGTCCGATTGCCCCAAAATTGGTGGATGTCACAGTCAGACTTGGGGATTCTGTCTGAAGCCTTTTTGAGGAAATTCAAATTGCAGATTGAAGTACTGTAAGAGGCAAACTTTTTGGGGCTAGTGAGAACAATTTTCGGGCTAGTACCCGAAATTTTCTTTTCTTTTCACCCTGCTGCTATCTCGAGCCCTCAAGGGAAACGAAAAATAGTTCGAGATAGTGGGGGTTTAAGATAGTTGATAGAAAATGAATGAAAAAGCACATCTAGACCTAGCTCCTTTGGAGTGAACATCATATATTGTACCTGAGTGCATTCTTTTAGATACAAATTTTCACAAGATGGTGGCAGCATGAAGAAACACTGGCGAGAGAAAAACATAATAGATAGTTAGATAGACACTAGATGGAAGTTTACAAGGACAAGATGACGGTTGTGTGGCTCAGGGGTTTCATTAAGGGCATGGCACAGGGCAAATTGACCAGCAGTGAAGATCATTTTGCACACATGGTTTAGCTATCCAGAGGAAATTTTTTTTTTAAAGAAGTTCAGTTCAAAACGTTTCACCCACCTGTGAAAACCAGTTGCCCTACTGCTGGAAACATTAATGAAACCCCTGCTGACTTGTCGTTGAGTATTGATAGTTAATGTGGAATAGCTTTGCAGTGTTGCTTAATAATGCAGTGTGACTCAAACAATTGGATGGAAAACCAAAACAGAGCATTATTCAATACTTAGGGCTTGCTATGTGTATTTATATTGGGTTTTCACTGGTTTGTTGTGGTGTTTAAAATATTTGTGCGGTTTACATTTTTTTAAGGGCTTTATTGGCTTTCATTGCAAATCATTGCAGTCATATCTGATGGGATTGAGCTTTGTGATTGCTTTGCTTTTGATTTATGACACTCAATAAAAAGATGATCTAATGCTGATGATTTTAATACTGCAGTTACTCCAGATTACAAGGCTGATAGTGACGTCAATGAATGACAGCTACAACCATGATGACAATAATGATGATGATGATGATGATGATGATGATGATAATGGTGGCGGTGGAGGTGACAAGGATAATGATAACAAGGATGATGATGATGACCATGACGGTGATAATGATGATGACAACAACAACAATGATGATGATGACAATGACGAACAATGATAACAAAAGGAACAAAGCTAAAGAGTTAGAGATGGGAAGTAGGGGCATTGTATCTTCAAGCATGCCCAAATTTGAAAATATGTACACTGCTTGAGACCATCATTCTGCAAGTTATTCTACAATAATCAAATCCATAAGAACTGAATAAAGAGAGTATCAGAGTCATCTTAGACAATTGACCCTGCGTCATCTTACCTGCCCTTTGAGACTTTTGTTTCCTTCCAAATTGGCATGGCTCAATTTCTTACAGTTCTTAAATAGCCACCAGAGACTGGGAAACAATTAAAGTGTTAACTTTTTTTATCAACTAGGGGTTTCCATTCTGATGTACCAACAAAATAACAATGAAAAGGAATAACTGGTAATCAATTAAAAGAGTAAGTGTTTGGAGTTTGTCCACAGTAAACATTGTGCAATATTTTTGGGTGTGCATGTGTGTGTTTTGTTCCATTAACAAAATCAAACATTTCTAATAAAAAAATGGATATTAAGTAACCGGGCTAGAACATAATGAAGACATTTCCAGGGAAAAAAATGTATATTGCTTCAAGCTTTCAGCTACATGTAGAAGTCTGTGTACAATCTTACATGAATGATGAAATTAGCACAAATTTGTAACTACAGTTAAGGTATGACAGTGTAAAACTGTACAAAGAAAGTGAGTCAAATACAGCCCTGATATGCATAACTATAAACTAGACATGCATAGTGTATGCAAAAGCATGTAATCACCAGAGTTAAGAAGACTTACGCTTTTTCACCCACTCTGTAGCACTTTTGAAGGGTTATTTTCTGTAAAAATATAAGCAAGTTAAATTACTACTCACCGTACATTTTGTTCACAAGTCTACTTGTATGAGAACTGTGAAGGGTAACACATGTAACTTGCTCAAGTGTTTGCCTGAATGAGTTAACTAAGAAATGAATGAGTGAATGAATAAATGATTAACTGCCCAACTGATTGACTGACTGACTGACTGACTGACTGACTGACTGACTGACTGATAGACAGATTGATTGATTGATTGATTGATAATGACAGATTGATGATTGAAAGAATCATCAACTGACAAAACAAACAAAACATGAAAGAATGAACGAGGGCAAAAATACATGTGCCCAGTAAGAAACCTTAGCATTGTGGTACACCTTTAATTCATTAACTTGTTACCTCCAGATGTGTACAGCTTTTGGATAAAGCTTTTAAAGAAGATGTATTGACAGCAACTCCACTCAAATCAAGTTCCTTCAATGATTTACACTGTTTCGCTATTTGGGGCAAAAAAATAAAAAATTAAATTAAATTAAGCAGCACCCCAGATGTGAATATTGATTACATAACCTATTTAAGTAGAACACATTCCTGCCATTATAAATTAAAATAAACAAAAATAGATCACTTTATTTAGGCATCAATGTGTTAAGCACTGCTGTAGTAATTGGGGACACTTGAATACATCAACAAATATTGTAAATTGGACAAAAACTTGTTAAAAATCCCAACTGATGAGAGTCTGACCAAAGCACAGAGAAGTTGAATTTGGGACCACTAAATGCAAATCAATCTGACTAGCGGCAGGGAGGAGGATTTGAACCCAGGATCTTTTAAATTAATGAAGAGTGTATAGAGTTCCTGTTGCCAGACACTGACCAACTGAAAGGAAAGCTATTCTGCAGCTAAATTAGTGTACCGCACAAAACGTACCAATACAGAGAACAGCAAATTCTGTCAAGAAATGTGGTGACAGAGACAAATCCAGAGAAGTAAGATTCTGGCATCCACGTCTTAAAATGGACCACAGAACTTCATCAGTAAGACCTGAAATAAACACCAAGTGGCAGTTATTAACATGTTAAATAAGTATCCCAAACTCAGACAAGTCTAAAAATAAGGTTGAAAAATGCAAAGAAAAAGTGTAGAATGTACATGTCAACTGATATTTGAAATTTTTATTAAGCTGCATGAAGCCCTGTAATGCTGGCAAAAAAGAGGTCCAGATATTTGACTTATATCACACCAGCAAGTACAATGTACTGCAGATCCCTTAAGATGAAATAATTGGTTGTCATAGCAACAAGGAATAAAGGTCAGCTCCAGGGAAATGTGCCACCATTTCAGAATAAATCACAACTGCAATAATGACTGAGTTTTAAATAAAGGTACATGTATTTAAGAAATACCTCCAATCCCCTTGAATGATGTGAAGGCTCCATGGAAGTCAAGATGATTCAAATGGTGCCATGACTTAATGGCTAGTAGCCTCCATCTTCTGCACACTGAAAGAAAACAGGCAAAGTGCTGTCAGTCCTTCAATTTCGTTACAGACAAAAAACATTCATAATAACAATAACTAATTGAAGGGGTGCGTGGAATACTGGTAAAGCACTAAGTGACTTTTGGAAAATTTTGAGGTAGCCAGGATTGAAATATACACCAGCAACTTTCAGTTTATTCTGGTTTTAATTATTGTCTAAAACAAACTCTAAATTATAACTGTCTTGTTCTTTTAGACAATAATGAATGAATGAGTAAACTGCAACAATGGCTGGAAGGTATTTCAAGATCTTCGACTGATATCACAGATTTTCTTTATTTTCAGTAACGTATTTTTGTTCTCTGCATCTACTTTAACATGGTGGTAACCAGTTCGAAAGCCAGTGGCTACTCTGGTTACCACGCACATTTTTTTTTATTTTCTCCATAGCCACATGCAACATTTATTTCTTTTCCCATCTTTGTTTTATAATACTGATGTAAAGTTTAAAATTCTGTAACTTTTGCACAATAAATTGAAATTGAAATTCTGAATTGAATTGAATCAAGAATGGTTACCTCAAAGTTTTCTAAATTCACCTGGGGCTTTCTTCCACACAACCCTTCAATTACTGTCAGTTATTAGTAAACATGGGTGCAAAAGGTTGTGGATTGAACGTACTGTTACCCACAATAAATGGTAACTAATTAACAATTTTTGATCCAATAATCTCAAAATCTTGGAAGCTGTTGGCATGAGTTACAAGGTTTTTTTTTTTTTTCACTTCTTTTGGTCTCATAGTCTCAAACTCATTGCCAGAAAGCCTTAGTCTTGTTTAACTAATGCGTCAGTCAATTCCAGCAGTGCCCNTAAATGGGCAAATTCCCCAGGGTGGGGACACATAAGCTGTCTAAATGCCCCAGCGTGGGGACGAAGAAAGAGGGCAAATGCCCCAACCCCGGGATCGTCGCCTTCCAACACCTCTGCAGTTTTTTTATTAATCAGGGAATAAAACGTTCAACTGTTCATTATTTTAATGCAACGGTAAGACTTCAAGGACAACAGTATGTGTACAGCACAATGCTTTTTAAACCAATGAAATTGGAATTGACTGATGCATAAAATCATTATTTCTCGTTTTGGCCAAAGGGTCTCAGTCAAAATACATTTACCTGCTACTGATATTGGTTCAAATAATACTACTACCAATGATAAAGGCATGTTTTGAGTATCAAGTGTTGATTGATAATTGTAAATTTCTTTGGTGTACCATACCCCTTTCAATTCTAATCCTGTCCTTCGGACCTAAATATGAGAAAATGTGAAGCATGGTGTATTCATTGAGCCGAAAAACTGCTGGCCTGTGGAAAAGAGACAAATGAACATGGTGAGCTTTAAGGTGTTAAAAAAAGAAGTAAAAAAGCTGGGAAAACAACACAGTCATGTTACAATGATAGGAGATGTACCACTCTTCTGAGTGAGATCATTCTAGCAGAACAAAAATAATTATAATAATAATCACAAAATTAATATTTTAACAGGATGACCCATCAGTGTATTAAACACTGTTATCAGAGGGGTCCTGTAAAAGAAAGTGAGAGGTTGGAATCCCTTGCAGAGTTTACAGAAGGGAACTGTTTGCAGGTACACAGTGATTCCATCTGTGATTGCTTTAATTCTATTTGCTAGCAGGGACATGTTCCATGATCACCACACACTAAGAGACTACGTAATGTTTGACGGGGGAATGATAAATTAAAAGGTAAAGTAAGTTTCATTGGTTTAAAAAGCATTGTGCTGTACATACACAGATTGAATCGTGTTTTCTTCACTGTTATCATCTTCTGCATCCATTGTTTCCTTGTTGCCACTGCCATTTTTATTATAACACTCCAGTGCTTCCTAGAAACATATATTAAGGAAATTTTGACCTTCTGACTCAATTTATAGACTGTTGTTTATGAGTGTTTTAAGGGAGATGTGTTGGCCTCATGGTTAGTACACTTGCCTCTGGACTGAGCAGGCTATGTTCAAGCCCTGGCTGGGCACATTGTGTTGTGTTCTTGCACAAGACATTTTACTCTCGCAGTGCCTCTCTCCACCCAGGTGAATAAATGGGTACCGGCAAATTTCATGTTGGGGTTAACATTGAGATGGACTAGCATCCCATCCAGGGAGGAGTAGAAATACTGATAGTCAATTCATGCTACTGAAACCAGAGATAAGTGCCGGCCTGATGGGCCACTTGGCTCATATGCAGACTTTAACAGTGGCCTAATGGTAAGTAAGCTGGACTCTGGATCAAATGTCCTGAATTTAAGCCCTGGTTGAGGTCACTACATTGTGTAATTCTTGGGTAATAAATAGGACACTTTAATCTCACAATAAATGAACCAAGCTAAGTAGATGTTGCACTGCATCAGCAGGCAAGTGAAAGAATTTTTTTTTATTAACTTGAAGTTCATAAATGTAAATTAACTGCCACTGCACATTTGTGAAGCTGACATTTCAGAGCAAAGTTTTCTGTTGGGGTTGATGGGCAAATGCTTTCCTGAATCATTAGTCAATCCAGAGCCAAAATTATACATGTGCATTCAAAACGTTTTTAGTGAGTAGCTTGAAGGTGTGAGTCATGCAGAAATATTCTTTGGAGCTGTGAACTGTAAAAATCCTTTAAGTGGTTGATTTGCTCACCTCTAGAGTGGTTTCATGAATGAAGTTTTTAGCACCTGTGAAGAAAAGTAGACTTGGATTTACAGACTGTATTCATTCTTTTATCATTTGTAACTACCAAATGACTATAAAATGGACAAGGGTGCTTGTCGTACATTTTAGGGGTCAAAAAAGCAGTTTTGGCTTCTTTTAGTGTGTTCGGCCCCAAAAGGTCTGCAGAGGAAGCTTTCATTGCACCTTTTAGGGTATTGAGCAGAAAAAAATATGATAAGAAGTAATGTGTTGTAATTAGAATTGGTACAAGTAGGGGTGAAAAAAATTTGAAGCCACACCCACAAAACAGGATCTTGGTACCTCTTAGGGTTTTTTTTTTCAAAATTTACGATGAGCACCCCCATCCTTTTAATATGGCAGTCCCCCAGGGCATTCAAGCCTAAAATGGCTATGCTAAACATGTTTGTTCCACACAATGTGAGAGGGTGGAGGCATTCCTGTAATACAGGAGGCTTATGATGTTGCTGGTCCAAGAGTCTGAGCTTTACTGACATTTCCTTGCTCATTTCTGGCAATGGACACATTCAAAAACTATGAAAACTTTGTGTTCTAAACAAAAGTTTTAAAGGTGGACAGGCATTGCTTTTAAATCTGTCAATCCAAGTCTGCCTAATGGTTTCCTTTTTCATCTTGATTACTGACAGACTTTGATAAAACACTATGTGGAGGCAGTGTGGCCAAGTGGTTAGGGTGCTGGGACTTGATAAGTGGAGGTCATAGGATCAAGACCACTTAGCTGGAGTTGTTTCGTGATAGACCCTAGTTCAACTCCTTGGTCACACTTGTAAATAGCCAACTGGTCTGCCTCCTACCAGTTGGGATTTTTGAGCCTACTGCTGGTATCTTTATTTCACAGAAACATTTCTTTCTTTCAGTTTAAGTGGCATGCCTGAGAACTAGCTAGTTGTAGCTAAGAGCATGGACCACTATAAACATTCATAGACAACTGCCATCAGAATACAGAGAAATGGGACAGAAAAGACTGCAGAGAGCACCAATATTGAGAAAAAACTACACTGACCAGCTTTAAGCAAAACTTCAAACAGTTACCATAATTTATTGTAGCCTGTGAATGCAGATGTATTTCTGGCTGTCGCTTGTCTCCGCCAAAAATAACGGTGTGTGAAACAAGAGCCGAAAAAAAAACTGCATGCTCTTGCAGGCTACCATTATTACACTCAGCTGAAATTATAATCTCATGAAAGCCTGGGAGTGAATTATCTCAAGCACAGTAATGAATATGTGTTACAAAAAGACAGAGTAACGGTATTACACAAAGGCAATCATATAATATAAAATGGAGATAGAGAATTTATTTACCACATTCTTGTCTCATTAACTGGCCAGATAGAGACTGGCCTGAAACAGAGCACCAGT